TGCTAGTTAACCTTGATTGCAGTGCTTTTGGTATTTGAGGGATGGCGCCACACCACCCACATCCACTACAACATGGTGTGGTGTTTATGGTGCTTAGGGCATTCCCTGAAATCTTCTATTTAGAAAATTGGGCAGACTAGATGGGCCGAATGGTTCTTATCTGCCGTCACATTCTATGTTTCTATGTCTATGTTTCTAAGGGCTCGACAATTCAGTACCTGCTGTTGTAGCACTAAAACTTCCATTATAGTTTGCTAGTCTTTGGAAAGGTAAAACATCATGGAAGTTGTAGTTTTAAAACTCCTGGGGATCTAATTTTTTTAGCACCCCAAGCTTTTTTAATTTTTTTTTTATTATATATAAATATATATTGATCCAAGGCTATCCTTAGGATTCTGTGTAAATCTATAGTGTGAGTGCCAAACTGCAACGTATGGAATTAGATTTTTCTTCTACAGATCTTCAAACATAGAGAGATGCTGTAGGCATTTAAAGGGCATCGTAAAGTGAAAAGTTGGTGTCATCATCCATCACCCACTACTTCTGGCCAGCCTGCCAAAAATAAAATCATTGAGATTTCAGTTGTGCCTTTTCCCAAAGTTATGAGACACGTTGTTTGTTTGATACTCATATTTTCATTTGCATTGGAATTTCACTGATCGTAACAAAGTGTCAGTTTTTGATATTAATAAAAGGCAGAAGTGACAGATCCTCTTTAAATCTTTTTTTCACTTTTACTGAATTTCATTTGCAGGGATAAAAAATAAAGATGCACAGAGCAGTGTAGCCACAACCTATTTGACTTTGTGTTCTCACCATTTATTAACACAGTCCATTGGGCCCCAAACGGTTACAAGACATAAAAAGTGAGGTATTTGATTGACAAGTCAGAAATGCATTAGATCATTTCTCCTGCCACAGTCCCTGGTACTCGCTGTTAAAAATGTCAGCTTCTCCAAGTTTGAATGGCAGCCCGGGGGCCTCAGAAGCCTTTTGTTTTGCGAGATCGAAACACAAATTGGTTGTATGCCTTGAACACTTCATCCCGAGCTGTAATTTCATCTTTTAGCTAAGAACCACATGGTACAAGAGCAAAGTAGCCTGTAAACAATCATACAAAAATAAATAAATAAATGGGGGTCATGTTTCCGATGCGCTGCTCCACCATTGGTGCTGACCTCGATCACATTGAACATCTCCCACTTGATTGCTGTTCCCTTTGGCATCTCAATAAGAGGAAAAACGGACAACGCAAGAAAAGTTTTTAATTTTTTTTTTATTTTATTTTTTTATGTGTTCCAGCATTCGATTTTAATTTAATCTAAGCTGGTGTAATCAGTTTTTTTGTGTTTTTTTTCCTGTTTGCTTTTTTTGATCGAGGAAAGGAGGAATCAAATTTTATTTCGTTGAAAAACCCTTAATCTCTGCTAATACTAAAACTAGGAGATCTGAACAGAATAACCCTTATTATGAATGATTTATTGTTCCGTTTAGAAATGATCCAGTTACCTTGTTAATATATGGTTCTGATATATTTTACAAAACTCACACGGGTTCCGAGATCTTGGAGAGTTAGAAAACATATGCAGCTTCTGTGGTTGACTACGGGGGTTTAGGAATACTTTTTTCTGTCTTTAATGTCTCCGTAGTTTCTGAATAAAATATCAATTTTAGGTGAAAAACTATCTGCAAATAATTGTTCACGAAGTAGCAAATGATTAAATATTAAGATTGCTTTTCCACAAGCACAACAACATAGAAAGCTAAATATGTATATATCTGATTTTACATTTTTCTACCTGCAGTGCCATATGTCATATCACGATCTCTGCATTCCTTGCGGTTCCTTAGTGCTGGGTAGAAGTGTTAATCCAGCAATTCACTCTTTCTTGGCTAGATCATTTACACTTTCCTCGGCAAGCTAAGAAATTCTTTTTGAAGTCCGAGCACATGTTCTCTGTACCTGTTCAGCCCTTGTAAGGGTAACATTGTATATGTGGCATATGTCCCTAGTTTTACATGTGCCTATGAATATAGAACAGGTGTCACTTCTTACTTTACCCTTCTCTCCATCCTCCTACTACAGCTATATTTTAATTTACAGAGTTTCGGGTGACTCTCTTAAAGTGCACCTGTTATCAAATCATTTCTCGCGTGCACTTTGAAGTTTTGGCCTCTGCATTGTATCAAATGTAAATTGATAAATACATTTTCCATCAAACAACCTGCTGATAAATGTTGGGTAGCTCATAGATTAAATACATTTTACAAAATCATAATAAATACAATAATTTTTATTGGGGAGGTAGGTAAGCATGCATTAACTTCCATTTATCCCAGATTGAGTATGGTAGTCCAATTTGAAACTCCCTATCATCCTGTTTTATTTCTGTTATCCCACTTCTGGGACTCCAGACACAGTGCAGAGATAGTGTATCATTTAACTGCTTAAAGGGACATTATAGTCACCAGAACAACTACAGCTTAATGTAGTTGTTCTTTTGTGTGTAGTGTGTTCCTGCATGCATTTCCATGTAAACACTGCCTTTTCAGAGAAAATGCCATGTTTATATTAATGCCTAGGGACACCTCTAGGTGCAGTCACTCAGACTGCCACTAGAAGTGCTTCCTGGATCAGTGCTGCATTACTGACATTCAGCGTCTCCACACTCTGCATTGAGGTGCTGAACTTTCTTCACAGAGATGTATGGAATCAGTGCATCTCTATGAGGAGATGTTGATTGGCCAGCGCAGCCGTGCGGGCTAAATAGTGATTTTAGCACTATAGGGCCAGGAATACACGTTTGTATTTCTGACCCTATAGGCTGCTAAAGGCCCTTGATTCGAGTCATTATGGCCATACATCAGCTTTGGTTTTCTTGTTAGGCGGGTAGCTTGTCAGTTTGGTGTACACTTATAGGAGCAGCAAAACATATGGAAAACAGGTTTATATTCAAAAAGAGAACATAAAATAGAAATAGTGTGATACCGTTAAGAGTTATATAAATGTGCTGTTAATAGGTACACTCACAACATGGAGATGTTAAATGCGCTCAAAGGGTGCCTTCCCCAAAGGTGATGGGGGGCTATTAACCCATGCCTCGGTCCGAGTGTATTGCTTGGAAACACGACTCCAGATGACTGGTAAAAAAACTTGCGGCTTTATTATAAATAAAAGGTGAACCATCACCAATGTAATAAAATACAAGGTACGGTCCTACGCGTTTCGGCCAAAAACTTCGGACTTCCTCAGGGACCTTAAAATCAATATAGATAACAATAGCATACAAAATAAAGCATTTATTTTGGACCGAGGTGTGGGTAAATAGCCCCTCATCACCATCGGGGAAGACACCCTTTGAGTGCATTTAACATCTCCATCTTGTGAGTGTACCTATTAACAGCGCAAATACCGTATATAACTCTTATCTGTATTACACTATTTCTGTTTTATGTTCTCTTTTAGAATATAAACCCGTTTCCCATGTATGCTTTGTTATTCCTATTCTGGTTGATGTAAGATTACCACCTGGGAGGTGATCAGTGGAAGGCTGTCCTGTTTTGATTTTAGATAAGTATATGATACACTTTCCATACTATTCTCACGTTTATTTTTGTGTTGATATCATTTTTTTCTATGGTGTACACTTATGCCTGGATGATAGCCGTCTACTTTTTCATTTGCACCTGCCCCTCCTTTCCTGCTTTCATGCGTCCCAATGTTTAAATGTGGGCACACGTAGTTTATGCAGGTCCCTGCTCTCTGCTATTGATGGTTAGCATAGGAACTTCACAGGTTTGTGAACTAGACGTCCCATAATTTTTTACAATGTGAGGGTTGGCGATCACTAATTTGCATTTTTGCGAGTCGCTAGATTAACATATATTATATAAAGAGGGAACTCTGTCCAGATCTTGTTGATCGTTTTAAAATACTATTCCATCTGCTCTTTTTGTTTTAAGAATGCTGACATTTTATTTTTATTTTTTGTGCATAAATGCGATCAAAATCTTACTGACCTTAATGCTAATATTTGAGGGAATCGTTTAGAAAAAAAAAATCAATAACAATCTTGTCTCAGGATTGTGATTCGTGATGATTTCATCAACAAAAACTCATTACAGAAAAGGGAGTGCATTTTGATTACATAGAATCAATATTTTCTTTTTTTTCCCCTTCTCTGTAGAAAAAGAAAATGGCTTGCATGTTTGGCTTTTCGTTATTCTCTGGGCGCTGCTTTGATATTTCGTTGTTCCAGATATCTCTATGTTTTATAACATGGTGATTTGTAAATTAACAGAAGACATGAAGACTGATTATCAGGTCTGCCGATTATTAGAGCCAATAATCAGCATATTTCAGATAATTGTTATTAGAATAGCGGTTTCTGACAGCTCTGCGGAAGTAGGAAGTATGTCACCAGCACTGATAGGAACCTCATAGCCCGGCGGGGACCCAATTATGAGAGCAAACCATTGCTTAACTGTTTGCCTAATTACCGGGAAACCGGACCATAGTAGTCCTGCCATCATAACAACAACCGCTGGCTTTTTTTTCTCTAATAAGTGATGTGTATTTCCATATGTGATTTATACATTGGTTTATGACTCGCAAGTCCAATTATTTCTGTGTCGGTAACTTAGTTTTGTAGAGCAGTAGGGAGCGATCTGGAATGGCGATCTAGTTTTATATCAGGTAGGTAAGAAGAACCGAGAACTCCAATTCCTTGCTGGCACTCCATGAGTACTCTAAACTTTGGAAAACTCTAGACGCCAATCTCAGAATGATCATGATCACTCACCCCTGGTCTCATATAGTTGCCAAGGCCTCTCCTAGCCCTGAACGCACGCGGCCTCTCCCTCTCTCTGTTGCTTTATCGTTCTCATGTCATCCAGGTTATGTTGAGTCCAATCCTTTGGATAGACTTTGTGGACTTGTATGAGTTTGAAATGGATTGGAGAATAGTGATGTCCCGAACGGTTCACGCGGACTCCAGTCAGCTGACACATTCCAGCCAATCAGCAGCAGACCCTCCCTCCCAGATCCTCCCACTTCCTGGACAGCTCACTAAGAATGCAGCTTCAAAATGGATGCTGTCCAGGAGATGGGAGGGTCTGGGAGGGAGGGTCTGCTGCTGATTGGCTGGAATGTGTCAGCTGACTGGAGTCCGTGGTGAACCGTCCGTGGCGAACAGTTCGGCGAACAGTTCGGGACATCACTATTGGAGAACCATCCCTTGCACTCTAGACTTTTCACCTAACTTTGTGCAAAACTCATGCCTTACACCAATACAAACATTTCCAGCCGAGTTGTTTAGATATCTACAGGTATAGCTGTGTATGTAGTATATATAACCATATATCTATCTCCATAGAAAACCAGTAGTATGAAGTACAGATTTCATACTGGTTATTTGATTCACTCTCTCCGGGTGTTTTTTGTCATTTATTTTAGGCTACGTAAAGTCTGCACTTTATAAACTGTCAGATCAAAAGATGTTAGATGTTGTCAGATCACACAGGGACAACACACCAAAGACCAGGTTCCCCAATTGAACATTGGCAGTGTGTTCTATTGTGTTTAGTAGTCCCTACTTTGATATGGTGTTATTCCCATTGGCAGTAAGCAATATGGAGCTAGGAGTAGGGATCAGGATAGATAGACTCACCATAGAAATTCTTATCGGCACTTAATGGGCACAAAACACACAACCGAAACAAACGCTATATAAATATTAAAAGCATTCTTCAAGTTAATTATTGAAAAGGGGGAAAAACTGATTATTGACACTTAGAAAAAATTAAACCACAAGCACGCAGGTATCCCTATGATAAAACAAACAAAAGAAGAATAACATTTTTCACGAGTAACTTATTTTTAATTTTAAATAAGCTTTAATAAATGTAATTTATTTAAAAACAATATTTTATACTTTTATATTGCAATGAAGTTCATTTTGATTTTGATATTTTATGTATATTTCTATATCTATTTAAATGTAGATATATGTAGACAGAATGTGTGTGTGTCTCTAGATATAGTTAGATATTTTTCTGAAGCCAAATAGTGTGGTAAAAAGCCAGAGTTCTTTAAACAGTTTAACATTTCTAAAGCAATTTTGTCAGACTGAAGGGTAACAAGTTTAGTACGACGTATCGTAATCCCACAGCTGTTGGGCTGGTAACTTATTTTACCTGTGGATTCCTGGGAAGAATTCGATAGCCGGACATTAAATGGGGATTGGTGTAAAGAGCAGTGAGCCAAGGTATATGTGGAATGCTGATACACAGACATTGGCAACGAGTTTTTTAATAATCTATTACGCAATGTTTTTCTCTTTTTTGCTTTAGGGGAGGGGCAGAGTTGTTTGATAGTTTACGTATGTAATACCCGTGACTTGGAAACTGCAAGTACAACTCTAAATATATTGATCGGTTTTTACCCATCTGTGAAATGCCCAATAATTTCCTATTCTCAATGTAGTTAACAGTTCATTATCTACCTGACAGAGTGAGATTAATAGAGGTTTTTAATATGCATTATTATGAACTCTGCGTCATCGTAAGGCCTGGGATTGTTTGCCAGTATAGTATACCATCTCTGGCATGGGTTACATAGAAACATAGAATGTGACGGCAGATAAGAACCATTCGGCCCATCTAGTCTGCCCAATTTTCTAAATACTTTCATTAGTCCCTGGCCTTACCTTATAGTTAGGATAGCCTTATGCCTATCCCACGCATGCTTAAACTCCTTTACTGTGTTAACCTCTACCACTTCAGCTGGAAGGCTATTCCATGCATCCACTACCCTCTCAGTACAGTAATACTTCCGGATTACCTGCCTGGTTTTGTATGCAAGGATATTATACCAGCTATGGCATCGGTTACCTGCCTGGTATTGTTTGCCAGTATAGTATACCATCTCTGGCATGGCTTACCTGCTTGGTATTGATTACTAGTATAGTATACCATCTCTGGCATGGCTTACCTGCCTGGTATTGATTACCAGTATAGTATACCATCTCTGGCATGGCTTACCTGCCTGGTATTGATTACCAGTATAGTATACCATCTCTGGCATGGCTTACCTGCCTGGTATTGATTACCAGTATAGTATACCATTTTTGGCATAGGTTACCTGCCTGGTATTGATTACCAGTATGGTATACCATCTCTGGCATGGCTTACCTGCCTGGTATTGATTACCAGTATAGTATACCATCATGGCATGGCTTACATGCCTGGTATTGATTACCAGTATAGTATACAATCTCTGGCATGGCTTACCTGCCTGGTATTGATTACCAGTATAGAATACCATCTCTGGCATGGCTTACCTGCCTGGTATTGATTACCAGTATAGTATACCATCTCTGGCATGGCTTACCTGCCTGGTATTGATTACCAGTATAGTATACCATTTTTGGCATAGGTTACCTGCCTGGTATTGATTACCAGTATAGTATACCATTTTTGGCATAGGTTACCTGCCTGGTATTGATTACCAGTATAGTATACCATTTTTGGCATGGGTTACCTGCCTGGTATTGATTGCCAGTATAGTATACCAACTCTGGTATACTATACTGGCATAGGGTACCTGCCTGTTATTGATTGCCAGTATAGTATACCATCTCTGGCATGGCTTACCTTCCTGGTATTAATTACCAGTATAGTATACCATCTCTGGCCTGGTATTGATTGCCAGTATAGTATACCATCTCTGGCATGGCTTACCTGCCTGTTATTGATTGCCAGTATAGTATACCATCTCTGGCATGGCTTACCTGCCTGGTATTGATTGCCAGTATAGTATACCATCTCTGGCATGGCTTACCTGCCTGGTATTGATTGCCAGTATAGTATACCATCTCTGGCATGGCTTACCTGCCTGGTATTGATTGCCAGTATAGTATACCATCTCTGGCATGGCTTACCTGCCTGGTATTGATTACCAGTATAGTATACCATCTCTGGCATGGCTTACCTGCCTGGTATTGATTACCAGTATAGTATACCATCTCTGGCATGGGTTACCTGCCTGGTATTGATTACCAGTATAGTATAACATGTCAGGCATGGGTTATCTGCCTGATATTGTATGCCAGGATAGTATACCATCTCCGGCATGGGTTACCTGCCTGGTACCAAACACAGAGGGTAGGAATTGTAGATTGGGCAGTAGCTAAACTTGAATATAAAGATTCTACGATTGGAAATCTATAATGGTAAGTTGATAAACGATAAATAAAGCTGTGAATAGATGCTATATACAGGTTTTTATTTTTTATTTATTTACTGTTTTTTCAAAAGTTCACCGGAAGACTAAAACATCCACGAGGGGAAGGAAACAATTCAAGGTCACTTGTGACCCCGGACTTGCTGTTAATGCTGAAGCCTCCGTTGCATTCATCATCTCCTAAATTCACTTCCTGCCAAGTGAATAGGAAATGTATCACCTCTCTTTTGTTATGTTACATAGGGCGCAAGGTTCGTATAATGTAAAATATGTTGTTTCCGCAGTATTTTTAATGGAACGTTGCATGCCCTTCTCAGTGTTGAGGGTTTGCATGTGTAATGTCACATACAGAAGTGGCATTACATTTGTACATAGTCCCTTTACCGAGGCCCTGTACATGTGCAGTAATGTTGTTTTACGTGATCCTTCATTCAACCTGGTTAAACTATAATTTATAACATGATTATTCCAGTAATCACTAAATTAGTTTTATACTGTGTTTATCCCACTAAACGGCTGATGTCAAACTGGATTAGAAAAATATACTCCTCCCAGCTTAACAATATTACATGCCAGTAAGGTTTTTGGCCTAGGCCAAGCATATTGGGTTGCCTCTGCAAATCTCCCGTTCTTTTCACACGCTCTATCAATTCTAATTTGCCACACTTTCACATTTATAGCTAAATAATACTCCCCAGGTAACGACTCCTGTCCACTTGTTGCTTGCTGTCGGTGGTGAGGAGTGAGTTTGGGAGAAGTCTAGTCACCGGTGTCCGAGCGTTTTAGATTTGGAGCAAGAGAGACGCACTCCTCAATGGCACAGACTTTTCCCATGGGGCCTAGCATGCATGCAGGTTTTGCCAACAGCAGGAGATAAGACTTCATTGACTTCCAAAGTTTGATATAGGAACCAAGAAGGGTGTGTGTTTATATATATATATATATATATATTGAATGTCCTTGGCTGTCCCTTTCCACCAGTAATGCCAATCCCAATAAGACACATTTATGGCTCCAAATACTAGTCAGAGCTAGCACATGTGTACATTGAGGCCAGACTTCTCGTATTATATGGTTTGTTTAAAAAACACTTTGAAAATGTAACCATGTTTTGTTGTGTTTACGCTGTTTCCATGTAAGGTGTGTAATTTGTCCAACAATTTACTTTTGTTTATTTTAAAAAAAAATCTAATTTATGGCAAAGAAAACATAAACCAAATAATGTACTATACATGGCCATAATCATGAAGCTTTGCCATCCTGAAGGCTGGCATAGGATCGTGGGATTTGCGGTTCTACATTTTCTTACTCCCCCCAGTATAAAGCTTGCTTTTCGTGTACACAGTACAAAGCCTTTTTAAAACAATCCCAGGCTCCAACTCTTGTTAGGCAAGAAGAAATATATAAAGACCGGCCGCAGCAAATGATACTTTGCGGAATATTGATTATAGCTTTTTGTTAAGATCATAAAATTGAAAGTGAAGCGGGAGCATTCAGGGGATCTCCCGAAAAGATACTTGCACTGTAACTGATAGTTATGGAGAGGCACACATAGAGGTCCCTTCCAGGTACTAACCTGTTATAGCCAAATTCTGAGAGCTGTGAACATCTGCTTGGAGCTTCTAAGAGCTTCACAATGCACTAATTGAATTAGTCTTTTTCTGGGGTTGCAGACTACACTAATTGAATTTGAATCAGCTGTGTGTTTATCTGTGTATATTTGAAATTAGAAAAAGCTTAAACCTCAGGGAGCAGGCTGAGTAGCAGACATGGCCGATCAAGTGTACTGTGCTGCTCTCTAATGGCCCAGAGAAGTATTGCAGATCTCTGGGGACAATGCCTCGGTTATGTGCTTTTACTGTGTTTCAAACCAAACCAGTTTAATGGAGTGTTCATAGTTGCATCGTGTTGGGAA